GTTCACACTAGAATCTCTAATTTACAACAAAATTAAAATTTAAAATCACACATTTAATTGTCTTGATTACATTTTTCCCCATTTCAAACATACTTGAAAAAAAAAAAGAGAGAGACAAATACCATGCCATGAAAATGTAATGAAAGTAGTTGTCATCTGTCATCATCAATGGCAAAAAAATAACTGATTTTTATTAAACCATAAGGAATTAATTCTATTACACCATTCCTAACCTTTGCGTCCCCAGTAACAGGTGCACCAATCCTGAATTTCACACTAAATTCACTTTACAAAAGTTCTTAACTTCCAGGGCACCAAGATGTCATTTAGCTTTTAAAAACTGTACTGTGGTTTACTAAATGATTCATCAGTGATCTAAGAGTTAACACAATTTGAAAGTGAGTCTTTTAATATCTATCAGGTAAACTATGTTTTTGCTATTTAAATAAATACATTTTAGTTGGTTAACTTCAAGATAAAGTTGATCCTCTCATTCTAGAATGACTAGAGTCAGGGGTTAATACTTTATAGTAAAAGCATATGAATTTTACCAAGTTATATGACTGAAATGAAAAATACTGTGGAATTTCATGTAGTTCATGTAAATGTGCAGAGCTTGTGTGAGTGCATGTGTGGGGAGGGGGAGGGCAAGAATTAAAAAAATTCCTCCATCGTAAGTGCATCCAATACAAGTTCTAAGAAAGGGTCAACAATTAGACTATCAACTCATCCAGTATTGAAAGTAAATCATTTTTATTACTATTCAAACAAGTGCCACTTTTTTGCTTTCTATGGAGAAAACTTTAAAATGTTCCTTCCCAAAGATTCTTAGTGATGATGTGCAAATACTTTAAAAACAAAGGAAAACTTCATTATCAGTAGTACTACCAAGTTAACATTCATTTATACAGGGCTCTAAAAAAAATGATGCTTTTTAGAAATTACCAATATATAACATATTTAGGAGAAAAGTGACATACTGTTATGGTAATTATGCATTATACTTCCTCTTTCTATATATTTATATTACACTGCTTTCCAGTTTCAGTTACATATTTAAATGCATTCCCCAAAAGGGGACAGTCATGTTACCACTGAGGGAAGATACATATGGGTGCAGTATACGACCTAAAAAAATATGTAAGAGGTTCATGCTCTCTTGACTTGCCTATAGTATTTATTTTTCAATAAGATTACGGCTGCATAACCATAAGGTGTTAAGAACATTCACTTCTAAACCAGGACTTCTAATTCTATCAACAAACTGTACATACGGTTAAATTATAACATATAACATCTGTATGGAAGGGGGAGGGAGGTTTATAAGAAACTGCTAAATTAGTTATCAAAATCAAGAAAGGGTCATTACAAATAACTTCAACCTATGTGCAATGAATGTAAAGAATATGAAAATGAGTCCCCTAAACTTGGGACAAGACAGTTACTGTTCACAGCTCGGTTCACTCAGAATTTAGGTGTTCCCATTAATTTAATAAAGTATTAACTGGTACATCTGCACATTTACTGAAAATACTTTATATACTAAACACTACTTCCTCCAAACAAATTCACAGATACGTTTTTAGATAATTTATGCAGCAACCTCTTCAAAAACAATGTGTTGCCTACACTGAACAGAGAGGTCCCTAAGTTAGAAGGGCAAACCTACCACTACACGCACACGCACAAATGTAACACGATTTCATAATGCTTTGTGTTAAGTCTCACATATAAAGAAACACAGAACTTTGTAAACATGCAGTACACATATTCATACAGTGTATAGTCTTAACAGAAGGGGGGAAGGTTGTTCACATAGTGCGGGGTACTTCATCAAGTATGCCTTTGTTTTTGTTACTCTTCCAATGTTTCTTCTTGTATTTAAACTTCTCTCTGCTACAACATGTTTGACAATTTTTATCATTTAAAATCAAATAAAATGTCCTTTTAATCCTGAACAGTATCCCCCTAAGATGTTGTAAAAATGACTGAAAGTTGGAAATTATGACCATTTGATTACTAGTCAGTTTTAACCACTGAGATTCTCACCCCGATTATTAAAACAAACAGCAATTTACCCAGTTACCCAAGTGTTGCCAAATTCTCTGCAATCTAGGTCTAGTTAGAATTTCTCCAGTAACTTTCCACATTCTTCACATCTTAAAAACAAATGACAACTCTTTGAAGAGATTCTGATTAAGATGTTCTGAAAAATTTGTGATAGCAAAAGGAAGTGATTTGAGAGTATTTTAGAAAGTACTCAGCGTTCTGTTAATTTTTCAATTATAAAATGGACATACATTTATAATAACTGTATTTCTTTTTAAGTTAAAAACAACCAACGAACCAACCAACCAACCAACCAACCAACCAACCAACCATTTAGAGCTTAAGCTCTTGGTCCATGGAAGGAGGACTTGGTAGAACCTGAAGCCCAGTATATCTCTCTACAGAATTTGCACGACTCTGAGAGGCCAATGCCTGGAGTGCAGAAGAGAGGTGGACATGTGGAGGATATACTTCTCCAACCCTTAAACAAGGATAATAAGTTGCATGTAGTAGAGATTCAATAAATGGCAGCTGAACGAATACAAAGGAAGTAGCAGGATATGGAGTAAATGCTGACTACCTCTGCTTTTTTCCTATTTTAAACAGCGGTAAACATAACCTGCAATTTAATCCCGCCTGCTCTGCCATTTCCACTACCCCAACTTCCGAAAGTGCTCTTAGATAAATATCTGCTGATTTTAAAAATAAAGAGGTGGAGAGGAGGTCAAGGAAGCAAGATTATAAGGGAAACATTTTAGTTTTTCCTCCTTAAAATACATGTAGGAAAAATGTGGAAATGGAAGAAAAGAGATGAATTTTACAAAACAACATATTCAACTGGTATTGCAAAATGTAACTTAAAATAATTCTAAGGACTGATTGTTGATCATTTACTGTCAAACATATACTGCTTTGCCATTCATAAACAAAAAGTCAACAAGTGACAGGGCCTGGATTCAAATTTATGTCGCTGGCTTAGATTCTAGTATTCTCTTCATTATGTCACAGCAATGGTATCTCAGTTACTGAAACTCCATTTGGTGGATAAACTGGGAAAATCAGAATTCGGGAAGAAAAAAAAACAAACACCAAAAACAGGACTTGAACTCTCAGCAAGAATCAGGAAGCAAAACACCGTCCCAATCTTTTTAGGATTTAAAATCCTCTTGCTAGCTCTTGGTGGACTGAAGGGTAGGAATCCTATCTTAGTCATCCCGGTACTTCCTATAGAAAATACTTGGTACAGGGCTTTGTCTATAGTAGATCCACCAAAAATGTTTAAAAAAATTGAATTAGTTGGTGTGTGAGTATCAGCTTGGGCATGTTAACATGTCAGTCCCACTCTCCTCATCTTAATTAAATTTTTCTAAAAACCTTTTCCAACAATGTTCTTTGATTCTAAATTAGCCCTGTTCCTTACATTACAAACACATGATATACAGGGAAGTTCACTTTTTTATTTCTCGCTTATAGTACAAACAAAACCCTTACACTTTTTAGGGCAGTGGAAACGTATGCTGCAAATACTAAGACAGTACATTGGGTAACAAACTATAACACTGTTTGGTAAACATTAAGATCTAAAGGAAGAATAATTAAGCTGCAAGCACTGAATATAGCCACCATTTAGCCCTTTCCTTATTTTAGGCAACCAATAAAATCATTCCATGGCACAGATTACTTGCATGTCCTTCATTTAAAGGTTTTAAGCATTATTGTAGCTTAGATGAGGCCCACTGATTAACTCTGATCTATGAACTTTTCTAAACAGTATTTTAAATAATAATTAGTTTGGGCATATACGAGTCTCTTCTTTGGGGAATTTATTTCAACTGTCAGCAATATGTTACCAAACGTTTTTTTAAAAAAAGAAATGTAAACTGCAGAGGATTTCCCTGCCCTTCCTGCATTTATCACAGAAAATTTACAGCTAAATCACAAACACATTTTAAGAAGTTGTAACACAAATACATCAATAAGGGCTTTTGTCACATCACAAACAAGGGTCTCCAGCACTATTAAACCAAGAAAAATCTCCCCAAATTAAAAAATCTCAAATATCCTCAAACCTATTTAAAATATCATTCAACTGAACAAATTCTCCACTGGAACATGAATGTGTTCACGGAACAAAAGCTTTCTAATTAGTAAGTATTTATCTATAGCAGCTTTATATATATGTATATAATGATATATATGTGTGTAGATATATATCATTAAACATTTCTTATCTCTATAGGAAAACCACTAACTTTTTAAAAATCTCAGCATAGAAATAGCTATTAAGACAATTCCATCAATTCACACTATTAACTGTAATTTCAAAACATCAAAAGAGTGACAGTTACACAAAATCCCAATGGAAATAACTGAAAACAGAAAAGAAATAAAAAGTTCACCCCAAAGTTAAAAGTACACACACACACACACAAATGTAAATCAACTTGATGAGATTAGGACACTCTACAAATGAACTATTAACATCCAATTATACTTCCATTCTAGAGTAAAAGCAGGAGTTTAAATCTCTTTGGTCCACGCATTCATACCCTTAATGTACCCAAGTTATTTTCTGGTTAATTTTGGATTGTGAATCATTTGCTCCATAATATCTTACCATGATAACTTTCTTTCTTTTTTCTTTTTTTTTTTTTTTTTTAGCTGAGCCATCCTGCCACCTGTTAGCAGCTCAGCTCGGGCTGGGACTCAAACTGCTGTTGCTCAGAGCTCGCACTCTTAAACGAGCTCTTAACCAACTGAGCCACTCGGCCAGCCCCCATGATAACTTTCTTAACATAATAAATCATAACATAACCATATGTTAAAATAAATATTCATTTTATACATCTTCAACATGCTATTCTTAATGCCTCTCAAAGACTATGAATACTTTTAATTACTGACAGAATAGACAAAATTCAAGTCTAACAGAAAAAGAGAAATCAAACTGATTTGGAAAATTTATGCCTAAATTTAATTTGGGAAAATATCAAGAATATAAAGAACACATGAAAATAATTTCAGGGTTATACATAATTAAAAAGTCATTTTTTTACTTCAATGATCTCTAAGAGTGCACAGCTGCTAACTGTTTTTCTTTAAAACAAATTTCCAAGCCACATCATGAGAAACTCCCCCAAACTGGCTTTCCCACTGGTAAAAGTAACCCCCCTGAACTCTTCACTGTTGAGTTGTTGATATAGTCTGCATTTTGGTGAAGGAAAAGTGGCATGGGTAACAAAGATCTTAAATTTAAATGGGACCTAATAGAAACCTACTTTTTTATCAAACAGGTTACAAAACAGCAAGGCTAGAGGGTGCCAATTATTTTTCTGGATTGATCTTCATATTCTCTGCAGTGGCTCTTCCTTTGAGTTAGCACATTTGTAATTGTACCTGGTACTAAAAAAAAAATCTCAGCAGGAGATAAGTTCAATAAAGTTCTGTTTCCCTTCATTGCTGTACTCTTAAAAACAAGTATATATTGCCAAAACCCCTTAAAATGTTTTATACTAAGGAATTTTTCATTTCCAATAGTCATCACACATTCTAATAAACTTAAACAACAGCATAAATCAAGAACTGAAAAACTAAGATGAATCACTTAAAGATATGTTTAGTACTGTTCTGATACGCTGAGATGAGTTGCCAAGTTTAAAAATTATTTACTAAATTCCCCAATTTTTACTTAGCGAAATTATGTTACCACATATTCAAAGAGTTTATTACTCTTCCTATATAACTTACTACTTATCTACAAATGTGGCTTTTTGTTTTCACAGCCTAATTTAGGCCATCTTTAAATATAGTTAATACTCCAGAATGAAAGACTGTTTACATTTTGTCAAAAATCAAGACATATCAACAAGTAATATAATCCCACTGAGATACTAGTTGTAAAGATGTTTTCTCCATGATATACATGGCAAAAATTTTCTTTAGAAGGGTCAAATAATGCAACATGCATTTCAGACTTCTTTTCTAACAAAATTTATATGAAAATTTTTATTTTCAAATTATATTTTTATGCACACAAACTACAATCAGTGTGTGTGACCCATAGAGTTTTTGAATTCATCTCAATAGAACATTTATGTATGAGGGAGACTATTAGAAGTGTTATTTAAATTAGTGAAAAGGATGCGCCCTACAGATATACTTTGAGTCTTTAAAAGAGTTTAGCTAGTTTTCCATTATTATTTTCCACATAAATTAAATAACAATAATGCCTAGGCATATTAAAGCCCTAATCCCAGAAATGTTTAACATTAAAAATCAAATAATTTACCTCCTATTAAATGATTCGGTATTCAGCACTCATACAGGGTTTAGCGTTACAAAACAAAAATCTCACTACGTTACCTGAATTCATGTTAAACATGTTCACAGCACTCATCTACACTTGCAAATTGTCACATGATCAATTTATAAAAAAAGAAGAGAGTTTGGCACATATATCAATTCCTCGAAACGTCCCTGTAACTCAACACTGTTATAAACGATGATTCAACACCCATGTTAACCTGATTTGGCAGCTAAACAAGGTGCTTTTTCTTGCAGCTTCTCAGTGTCGTTGGCCTTGCCTGGGACGGAGGCACGTGAGGTGCAGTGCGGTAGTGCAATCACTCGAACACCAGAGGGCAATCTTTCCATGCAGCTCAAGGCCTTAGCTTCTGCCGGCTCCTTCCAAATTCTTGTACAGTATCATTCCCACCTGTTAACAATGCCATTTTCAGAGACTCTGTACATCTGTTTCCTTATGTGAAGTAAGACATTCCCACAGAAACCTCAAAGTGTGGCGAGGATCCTTGAAAAGGAGATGATTAATGTCAGTACAGTCTGTCCAACGCCCCACACCAGGGCTTCCAAAGGGGCCATGTTCTTCCCTGCGACTCTGTAAATGCCCGCTACTGCTGCACCTGGATGAGAAACGAGGGCAGAAACAAAATAACGCGTTAACTCATTTTTATAACACACTTCATGATTGTAACTTAGGATTGCTTTTCATTTTATCAAAGCAGAGTAAGTCATTGTTCAATTTCACAAATTTTCTGTGGAGTTTCTTTGTGATTGGTAAGTTACACTTTACCATACCACATTTACCCACTTAATTGAAACAAAGGTTTCCATTCAACCAGAAAATGTATGTTTATAGTAGAGTTGCTTGCTTGACGCCAAATACATGCATAAAAAATGAATAATTCATTACTGTATATAATCTCTCACCTGAGTACTGAATTGGCCAGAACTCATTACCATTTTTATAAACATACAAAATATATTGATAATTATAAATGATAATTCAAAACTACACAATTTACTGTAACTTCTAAATGATTCAAGGGCATTTTAATATTAAAGGAATCTTTTAAAATTTCTTTCAGTAAATTAATTCTTAAATATCATATAAGATATCAGAATACTTGATAAATTCATTTCACAATCTACCATATAAAATAGTTTATATTTACTACATTTAAATACAAATGTAAGGTTATTTGGAGAATACTATCGTGATATGTAATAAAAATGGAAGATGAACTTGACGTCTGTTTTAGGAAAAGTGTTTTAGATAATGTGCACTTTTGAGAATGAGACAATTTTAGAGTTACAAGGAGCCTCAGAGCTTTTCTGATTCAATAGTTCATCTTATTAATATTGTACATATAATGATATGGTGTCTAGATGGATGATTTTAAAAGCACATTTGGAAATCAAAAAGGAAGAAGCATTTAAATTACAGTAGGCCACCATCTCACAAATTGAGATGGCCTTAAAATGATTTTTCTGAAAAACAAACTGTCTACATATCGTAGAATGGTCAAATATACAGGAATAGCAGAAACAAATTATTCAAAGACACTCAATTGACAATTATTTGAGATAGCAATCTATTCATAAAAATTAGCTAAGAATTAATTCTGTAGTTCATTTAAAACCTCCCAAGTAAAAATTACTGTATTCCTCTATAAGAGATATAAATGAAAAAAGCAAATTATTAATCTAAGCTAAGGACCTTCATATGCATGTTTTAAGAAGGAAATTAAAATGTATAGTGTATTTACTGTATATTATGTATCTTGATAGGAACTTTACAAATATCTTATTTAAATATTATACCACCCCTGAGTAATATTGCCTAATTTAAAGATGTAAAAAGGAAGCTCAGAGTGGTTCAGTTACTAGCCCAAAGAAATATAGTAAGTAGAAGCTGGAATTTCAATCCAGGTTCATCTGGCCATAAATCCCCCAATCATTCTATCATTTCATAGTTATACTAAGTGGAAAAGAGTACAAGGAGTCCAGAAAATAATAAAGTAACTGATAATCATCTTAATAATAAATAAAATTCCTAGTGGTACCAAAATTTACTTAATCAAGTTATGTGCTTCACTTGTATAATTGGTCATATTGAACTTTAGAACTGAATGACATTCTTAAAAACTTTTTAGATCCCATGCCTTTTTCGTTATCAGATATTATGCTAAAATAAACCTGAAAAAATACTCTGTTTTTATTTGAATTTACCCTAGATTTCCATGAGTATCTTCATTTTTTTAAATTTTTTTTATTGGGAATTGGGGAAGGGGAACAGTGTTGAGGCATTGGGGAAGGGGAACAGCCACGTTTTTCCTCCTTCAATCTTCGTTGTGGAGGGTACAGCTAGCTTAGCTCCAAGTCCAGTCGCCATCCGGCTGCTCAGTTCAAGGTGCCATGTTCAGTCTTAGTTGCAGATGGGCGTAGCCCACCATCCCATGTGGGAGTTGATCGGGAAACCTTGTTGCTAAGAGCCCGCACTCTAACTACTGAGCCATCTGGCCACCCATCAGCAGCTCAGTGGCAGGTCAGCTCGAGATGCAGTGTTCAATCTTAGTTGCAGGTAGGCGTAGCCCACCATCCCACGTGGAAGTCAAATCAGCAACCTTGTTGTTAGGAGCACATGCTCTCACCAGCTGAGCCATCCTGCCACCTGTTGACAGCTCACAGCAGCTCAGCTCGGGCGCAGCTCACTGGCCCATGTGGGAATCGAACCAGCAGCCCTGTTGCTCAGAGCTTGCGCTCTTAACCAAATGAGCCAGTCGGCCGGCCCGAGTATCTTCAATTTTTAAAACCACAATTTGGTCTCTATCTCTCTGGCCCTAAGTTTCCAAAAATGATCCAAGAAGTAGAAAATTTAAGCAATTATTAGCTCAGGCTGCCTGGGAAATGGCAAACAAATCTGTCAATTCAAACTTCTCATGTTTATGTAAGGTTAAGAGCATGGGTTTTATAGCTAGGCTTGTGAATTAAAATCCAAGCTCCACTAAGGGCCCAGGAAATCAGTTTGGGACATCTCCCAAAAGGGTTTAGAATTTAATTGGAGGCCAGGAGCCATGGAAAAGCACCATATGAAATGTCAGAAGGGAATCAGAGAAGAGTTTCACGAAATAGAAGCATGAGTACTGAAAACATTTCTACTTCACTGTCATCTTTTCCAAATAAGCTGACTCCATTACTTAGTATGTAGCTGTTCTGGTGAGGATATAATGGCTTTCACTTTGGAAGGCCCTGTTATTTGGGGGAAAACAAACAAAACTACTAAATATTCCATTTTTCTTTATAATCTTTCAAGGAACAGAGGGCAAGATTTTCAAGTGTAGCCTACAATGAGGGGAGAAAAATGAATTTAAAAAAAGAAGAAAAGCCAGTATAAACTTCAGAGTTTCCACAATCAAGGGAGACATTTTAAGAAAATAAAGCCAGTTGCCAATTTCCTCCCAGTGGATAATCAGTTAGAAACCAATTTGTAAATTACAACTCTCCTCCAAAAAAAGATTTATAAAAGTTCTCACTGCATTGTATCATTTCACAGCACAGAAGCACTGGTCAGAAAACACTGTTCCAGTGAATCTCTTAATCTAAAAGGTCTCAAAGAAAATAATTTTGTGTGCCTATTAAATGATTTTGGAAATACTGCTATTAAATATTGGCAGATGTGAAAGAGTATTTATAAAATTATATGTAGGTTATAAAAATAACCATAAATTTCCAAGTACCTATCATCCAATTAAAGAAAAAAACATTACTACTTCCTTTGAAGTTCCCGTGAACCCTTCTCAGTCATGTTCCATTCCCTCCCTGGTTTTTATCATTTCTTTCCTTTTCTTCAGCTTTACCACCAGCTTATATTAATAAGGAGATATATTACTTAGTTTTTTAATAAAGGAATGTTATACATATTGATACTGTAAATATTCTACAATTTTTGGCTCAACATTGATGTTTGAAGTTATCCATGTTGTATATAGCTATAATTCACATTTTCATTGTTGTATAGGATTCCAAGTATGAATAGACCACAACTTATTTATTCATTCTACTGCTGATGACACTTGTTTCCAATCCGTAACACTGACAAACACTGCTTCTGTGAACATCTTTATACGTGACACCGGGCACACATATGCAGTCAAGAGTTTCTCTACAATACGCGGGTAAAAGTAGAATTGCTCTGTCCCTATGTTATGGACATTTATGACTTTACTAGAAAATGCTGAATTGTTTTCCAAAGTAGTTGTACCAATTTATACTCCAGTGACTACTCCATATACTCAGAAGCAGTTATCCAAAATATTGTTTAAAAGTTTTGAAATCTGGTAAGCGAAACATGTTATCTCTGTGGTTAATCTGCATTTCCCTGATAATTAATGTGATTGGGCTTTTTTTTTTCACGTTAAAGGCCATTAAGGTTTCTACTTTCATAAAATGCTTGTCAAATCTTTCATCCATTTTTCTACTGGATGGACTTTTTCTTATTTGAGTCATAGGGTTCTTTTCTTTAAATATAGCTTGGATAGTAATCTTTTTTACAAATGTCTTTCCACTATTTGTGCTTTAGTTTTCACTTGCTTTAAGGTGTATTTTTGCTGAATAGTAGCCAGCTGAAGGAGTACAAACATTATGGTATTTATTTTCTTGGTGAAATATGAGACGAAGATATGTGAGAATGAAGAAGACAGAGTAGAAATAGGGTGCTTGAAATAAATGATACATGATAGGAATTTCCAATATGAACAATGACAGGAAGAATCAGTTAGGAAAAAGGAAAAAATCCCAAAAGTATTAAGGGGTAGAGAAGACTGGTACATTGAAGACGAAGTGAAGAAAACAGCTGAGTTGATCTGAAGGTGAGTAAAAGATAAGCTATAAGGACAAGACAGACCAGGAGAAGATGTCAATATATATATATATATATATGTATATATATATATATATATGTATATGTATATACATACACACACACACACACACACACACACACACACACACACACACACACACATATATAGCAACATAAAGTGCCTGCAGAGGAGTATACCAATTTAAAGTGATTTGATTTGCCCTCCATATTTCCTGAGAGAATGCAAATATAAAGGTTATGACATTTAGTTTTCATAGTGTGTTGATTCTATCAGTTATATAGTTAGATAAAGGGTCAAGACCCTACAGTCCACAGGTCAAATGTGGCCCACCCCCTGTTTGTTTAAAGCATACAAGCTAAGGATGGTTTTTATATTTTGAAACAGTTGAAAAAAATCAAAAGAAGAATGCTATTTCTTGATACATGAAAACTATGAAATTCAAATTTTAGTGTCCATAAATGTTTTATTGACAGACAGCCATACTCATTTCTGATATTGAACTATCTTTGCAATCCAAGGTAAATGAGCCTCTATATTTCCGTTCTTATGTAGTCTTCATCTTGTTTACCAACAAGATTACTTTGGCTAATACACTATGCCTAGTTTTAACTCTTTCTATTATTTTTAATAATTTGGATAAAACAGGAACTAATTGTACCTTGAAAATTTGATAGAGATCATCTGTAAACTCATTTGGGATAGGAGTTCTTTTGGGAGAAGGGGTCTTTAACATTTTAATTGTTTAAAAATATTTACTGTTCCATTCATATTTTCTATTTCTTCTTATGCTAATTTTGATGCTTTATATTTAGGAATATATAGCTGTCCACAAAACTGTTATCTTTATAATTCTTTAGTCTCTTTATTATCGGGTCTGCAGTTATTTCTTCTGTTTTGTTCTATAACTTACTTTTCTGCTTTAATTCACTTTTAATTAGATTGCTAATAATCTATTCATCTTATTATCTTTCCAAAGAACCAGTTTTTTGCTTTGTTAATCTTTCATAAACTTAACTTACAAAAATTAACAGCATTTCTTTACATTAATAAAACTAAACAATGTAATCAAGAGATACCATGCATGATACCCACAGCATAATGAACTTAGGAAATAACTTAAAAATATACAACTCTCCTATTGAGAAAAACATTTTTAAACACTAACAAAAGACATAGAAGTTGATATGAATAAATGGGGATGTATTACATGTTCTTGAGTGGATTTATTTAATATGCGAATTCTTCGCAAATTAACCTCTACAGTTAATTAAATCCCAATAGAAATCACAGTCATACTTTTTGAGGAACTCAGCAGACATACTAAAAAATTCACATAAAAGAATAAAGGTTCATGAATAGCTATGTTAACTTAGAGAAAGAACAAAAATGAGGGACCTAGCCCTACCAGACATTATAAAATATAGGCATACCTCGGAAATATTGTGGGTTTGGCTTTAGACCACCACAATAAAGCAAGTATTGCAATAAAGGGAGTCATAATCTTTTTGCTGGTGTAGGATCCTGCCTTCAATTTGTTAAAACAATGCAACATCCGTGAAGTGCAATAAAGTGAAGCGCAATTAAACAAGGTATGACTGTACTATAAAACCATAGGGATAAAAAAATATGGCCTTGCTGCAAGAACCAACAAAGGGACTAATAAATCAGAACAGAGTTCAGAGACATACCTATGTACCTGGAGAACATAATACACAAAAATGGTGACATTACAAATCAATGAGGAAATGGATTTTTAGTGGCTGATGTGGTAAAAATTGACTTACTATATGAGCGGGATAAAAAGGCACCTGGAACCTTATCTAATATCAAATACAAAGGTATGCAAATTATGACCTGAATGGCAGACACCTGTTTTAGTTAATGAAATTTTATTTTAAAAAAGCCATGCCTATTCATTTACATATGTCTGTGACTGCTTTTAATGCTACAATGACAAAACTGAATAGTTGTGACAGAGACCATCTGGCCTGCAAAGTTGAAAATATTTACTATCTGGCCCTTTAAGAAAATGTTTGCTAAATCCTGCTTTAGATAAAGTAAAGACCTTAATATAAACTATAAAATTAACAGAAGAAAATATATCAGAATATCTTTAACATTAGTGTAGGGGAAAACAGTAAATAAAACCCTATAAATCATTAAGCAAAAAATCTTTAACCTGATTATTAGAAATGAAGGATTTCTACTCAATAAATAACATCATGGATTAAGGTAACTAATAAAAGGTTGAGAGGATTTATTTGCTGAGTCCAAAACCAACCAGAGATCAATATTCCTATATAGAAGAACACCTATCATTTAAATAAGAAAACAAAAATCCCAAAAGAAAAGCAAGCACAGAATTTAAAGCAGCAATTTGCAGAAAAGAAAATTTAAGTATATAATAATCATAGAAAGAGATGTTCAAATTCATTAGTAATCAGAGAAATGCAAATTAAACCAACAACGAGATATCACCTTATACTTTCAGATTTGCTATAATTAGACAGCTACATAATGCCAAGTGATGGCATTACACAGAAACCCAGTTTCTCCCAATTCTGTTATTAACTATTATCTACACCAACTGAAATGACAAAGATCACTCTATTCTGGAAATAAAATCTAAGTAGTAGAAAAATATAATAATATATATCAACATTCAGTCAGTATCTTATGCAATATAGATATTCAGAAATCATTTACTGAACTGAATATAAAGTTGGCACTCACATACATTAAGAAAATATAATTAAATATTCACATTGGCTAGTTTTCTTAATTCAGGTGTTTGCAGGTCACAAAGCCAGAAGAAATTTAAATGTTTTATTGCTAACCTAGATGCAGATTTTTATTTGAAATTGTGTCAGACTTATATTTTTTAAGATTTTAAAATACAACACTGCAGTTTCTAAAATAATTGGCTTATTTTATTGACTGAGTTGAAAGCTTTACACACACACACACACACACACACACACACACACACACACGGTGCCAAAAATATGTATACACATGTTAAGAAAGGAAAACTGTATTAATAGTGTAATACTCAATATATAGCTATGACAAAAGATGAATACAAGTCATGTTTGACTTCTGCAACTACAAGAGGTGCTCAAAGTGGCTGCCATCAGCGACCAGACACTTCTGATTACAGAGAAGTACTACTTGAGCAACGTTGACCAAAGTGTCCACTTGTATACATTTTTTTGGCACCCCCACTGGGTGCGCGTGCGCGTGAGCACCCCACTGAGATAAACGCAAGTAGTATGCCATTTCTTAAGTTGTACAATAATTTATAACAACAAATACGCATACACACATACTATTAAGACCTCCGAACAAGCTGTTCCTTTCTCCTCCCTCTTCTGTTCACTGTTCCACAATTACAACAGGGCCCACATCAGAAACACTGGCAGTCCCTGGCATGTCTCTGTATGCCACCACAATGAATAACTCATTTGAATTCTTCCCCCTTTGCCACAGTCCTTACATTAATTCCTTCTTTCCCAACCCACTGCCATTACTCTAGTTCAGATCCTGACCTCAAGTTCAAATTACAGTTAATGTCTCTGAATTCCTCTTCCTTCCCTTTCTTTCTCCATTCTTCCCTACCCTTTCTTCTACTCTTCCTCCCTCACTACATCCATCCATCCCAGTATTTTGTGAGTATGTATTATGTTCCAGGTAGTGCTTTATTTTGGGGGTACAGTAGTGATGAAGACAGACAAGGTCCCTGCTCTCTCAAGAGTTTTCTCTTGGTTCTTCACATATATTTTATATTCAGCTATAAAACCCATGTTCCCATCGAACTGCTTAGCCCCTTGCCAACTCCTTTCATAAATATCTGTTTCTTTTCCACTGCCTGCAGAATAAGTCCAGACTTTCCAGCTGACCTTCCAAGATCTTCTAGGATGTGGCTCCAGTCTATCTTTCCAGTGGAATCTGCTATAACTTCACTATGTGATCCTAAGCTGCAGGATTTAACCTGAAACAAGGTGAAAACTTGTCTATGGCAAACTGGATGACATACCATATGATAAAGTTACGGGTAGACTGCAGCAACAACAGAAGCAACAACATCTAACACAAGTTAACACAGAAATACCAAACAGTAAATTAAGAAAGGATGAGAAAATAGATGATTCACTACTACTACAGCTGTTGTATGATTGTCTTACCAGAGACATGAGAACAGGGCAAGCTATACCAACCACTCTGGGAAAGGTGACTGTGGACACAGAAGGAGAGGCCTTAGAACTACAGAAGAAAAGGACTTCCTCTTAACTCTGGGGCAAAGAACCCAATTAGAAAGGAAAAAGTCCTTGAAGTGTCTCAAAACAGGTCCAGTGGTAGCAGTGATTGTCCCTGACATTTGGAAGTTGGTCAAAAGCAAACGGCAATACCAGCCTCTGTTATTCAGTCACAGTGACAGAATCACCAGCAGCATAAAGCAGCAGCCAGTTTCTGGCAGTACCACATTAAGGAAGCAGCTGGGGCACGCTCCAGTCTCAATAAGATGCATCTAAGTTCACAGCAGAAACCAGAACTAACTGAGCCTGAGGCTGGAGCTGGGGCCTAGGGGCAGTGTTCAGAGAAGACGGAGGGAAGGGGCTGAGGACCTGTGTGAAACACATGCATAGAAAACTTGCAAATAGGGGGAGGACACTCTAAAGGGGCTAATTTCTCGTTGGCCAGGGGAGATTTGTGTCATAATTTGTACATAAGAAGGAAGTGCAATTTTATTTCATAGTCTCAGGCAGGTGACACATTTTCGCTCTCTTTTAATGACAATTATCACCATCATATTTGTGTGCCTACCTTTCTCCCTGAGGATATAGTGAGCTCCTTTAAAGCAGAAACTACATCCATTCCAAGATAAATTTTCTCATAAATTGCTTTGCCCCTTGCCAATTTTTACAAGTTTTTGTATTTCCCACACGTCCTTTCATGATGAGTCTTCCATAGTAGAAATACAAAAACTATTGCAATGAATAAATGGACTGATCTTTACCTTGCAGGGGAAGTGCGTTAGTCCTGAAAAGATATTCTACGTGAAAAATTACACTCATGTTACATTTACAATAAGAACAAAGTTACCCAAACCGTATGTGCATATAAAATTCTGTCTTTAAACAAAACAAAATCAACTTACTAGTAATCATTGCTCCAGTTACAGAAGCCAGAAATCCGATGCTGACTGCAATGACAGAGATTACTCTCCCCTGCCTATGTCTCTGCAGCATCACAAACATCAACACTCCTGCAGCACCATGGACAAACAGAGAGGAGAAGAGAGCCCAGAGAAAGATCCAGTACCACATCTCTGAAAGGAAAAGCAAAGGATTAATAATTCTGTTGAAAAACATCTTAGAAAATTCAATTTAACAAGCTGTGAGCACCCAGGGTTTGGGAAGGTTAAATGAGATAATAGATACAAAAATGCTTAGCACAGTACCTGACACATAGTAGTCCTAAATACATGTTAATGATTATGATCATCCCTAATGCTTGATGAGAAAATAATTCCCTCCACAACTTCACAAGGTTAAGGCTATGTTCTAACTTCCTCTAAATGTCTCTATCATATAGCTATAATACATCAATTTGTGTAAGATAAGACTAATGTATTTTTAAAACTCCTGAAATAAACCTTGTTATTTATTGCTGTCTGAGGTATACTTTTCTATTTGCTACACTAAGTAGTAGTATTAAGACATTTAAGGTGACCGGTTAGCTCAGTTGGTTAGAATGTGGTGCTGATAACACCAAGGTTGCCGGTTCGATCCCTGCATGGGCCACTGTGAGCTGCACCCTCCTTAAAAGAGTCAGCTATGCCATTGTAGCATGAAAGCAATGTGTAACCAATGACCAGGGCTATTCCCCATAAAAGAAAAAAAAAAGACATTCAAAAATCTACCCCTTAATTCAAATCATTCCAGAAATGAGTCAATGATTTTCTCTTTTATGATTTTAAGAATTTCAGGAAATTCTCCTCTTGGCTCTTAACTTCATATAACACAACTAAATAGTCAGATTTAAAAAAAATTTTATTAAGCATTCTTTGCCTCAGATCATTTTAATAGTTTTTACCAGAAACTTTTCACACTCCATTATTCTTCAATATATCCTGTTACTATCCATTGAAGTTTAGCTCATGCAGCGTTGATGAGCACACCTTTCATTCTGTCTCTAGCATTCATTCCCTTTCTATCTGCCAGCTGCAGCCTCCCAGTCAATACATACAGCTCCCACAGATACTGCTAGGTCCCTGCACTGACTCCATCTTTCTGACCATGCTTGTGGTGAGTTATAGCAGGGCAGGCCACTGATCCCAGCTATGTCATTCCCTTCTGCTGGGAATTCTGGATTGAGACCAATTGAGCAACTCGGTCTTTGGGTGGCTGAAACTGAAGGGTTCAGGATCTGTGAACAGCCATTTCATCATCACACGATGAAAACGACGATACAAAATGGAAAAAAAAAATCCATCAAAGACAAGAGAAAACCAAATCCCATTTCCAGTTGTTTTTAAGGCCCTGCAACATTACTGTCCTTAGATTCAATTCTAGTTTTCTTGTGATAAAATCCCTCTTTTTATTTAAACTGGTTCAGGTAAAGTTTCTGTTACTTATAGCTAAAAGAGGTGACTCAAAAATGTTGAGCTGTCACCTTGAGAGTCATTCTTACTAGCAAACATTCTATAATGGAAAATACCTCATCTGCTACTTGTGATAGTATCACTCTCTGTCAAGCATAAAAGTCAATAATAGTCATAAAATAAAAGTGATAAATTAAAACTAACTTACCCAAATATCATTAGAGTGCAGTTATACACTGTTGATGGGAATGGATAATAAAATGGTACAGCAGCTATGGAAACACTGTGGTGTTTCCTCAAAAAAATTAAAAACCAACAACTATATGATCCAGCGATTCCACTTGTGTGTATATATCCAAAAGAACTGATAGCAGGATCGTGAAGAGATATTTGCAAATCCATGTTCCTATCAGTATTATTAACAACTGCCAAGAGCATTCAAGCATCCATACATGCATGGATGGATGAATGAATAAAAAAAACGTGGTATACACATACAATGGATATTATTCAGCTTTAAAGAGGAAGGGAATCCTGTCACATGTTACCACATGAATGAACCTTGAGGACTTTATGATAATAAGCCAGTCACAAAAGGACAAATACTGTTGGATTCCACATATAAGAAGTACCTAGAGTAATCAAACTCACAGAAAGTAGAATGGTGAATGTCACAGGCTTGGGGAAGACGGAAAAGGGGAGTTGTTTAATGGGTACAGAGTTTCAGTTCTGCAAGATGAAAAAGATGTGGAGATCTGTTGCACAACAATGTGAATGTACTTAACATTACTGAACTGTACTCTTAAAAGTGATTAAGACGGTAAATTTCATGTTATATAGTTTTATCACACTCAAAAAATTGAAATAAGTCGAGTGGCTCAGTTGGTTAAGAGCGCAAACTCGAGCAACAGGACTGCCGGTTCGATTCCCACATGGGCCAGTGATGCTGCGCCCAAGCTAAGCTGCCGCTGAGCTGCCAACAGGTGGCAGGATGGCTCAGCTGGTGAGAGCACGTGCTCCTAACAAGACTGCCTGTTCAATGGTGGGCTACACCTGCCCGTAACTAAGAATGAACTCAGCACCCTGGGCTGAGCTGCGACCCGGATGTCTCAGTGGATAGAGCATGTGCTCTTAACAACAAGGCTGCCTGTTAGACTCCCGCATGGGATGGTGGCTATGCCTGCCCGCAACTAAGATTGAACACAGCACCTTGAGTTTAAAGGCCACGAGCTGCCAACGGGCAGCCAGATGGTGACTGGCACCCTCCACAACGAAGACTGAAGAACAACAATTTGGCTGGTTCCCCCTCCCCCCTCAATTCCCCAACACTGTTCCCCTCCCCCAATTCCCCAATTTAAAAAAAAAATGGAATAAGTAAAATTTTTTAAAAGTATGGACATAAATTTAAAAGATAATTATTTTAAGTCAAGACCATAAATGACAAGCCATTTAAAAACAAAACAAAAAACTCTTGAGAAAGGAAGGAGGATGTGGTTCAGGAAGGATAACACCAGGGATCTTTGTGGCAATGAAACTATTCTGTATTCTGACGTGATGGTGGATACATATACACTGCATAGAACTAAATATACACACACAAATGAGTACTAGTATCCAAGTAATACTCATGAAATTTGAATAAGGTTGGTGGATTGCATCAATGTCAATATCTTGGTTTTGATATTATACTGTGGTTTTTCAAGATATTCCCATTGAGTAAAATGGGTAAAGAGTACATGGGCTGCCTTTGCATTATTTCTTACAACTGCACATGAATCTACATTTATTTCAAAATAAAAAGTTAAATTAAAACCAAAAGAGGGATACGAAATTCTTAAGAATGGACCCTTAGGATGGACTCAGATCATTTAAAATCATTTCAAGGGAGGTACACTTGATATATTTTCCAATGCATATTAAAGTACCATGCAAGCTTCTCAATGGCATAAGAGATAGATGCTGGTGATTAAGGAAAAATGGACAAAGTTTGCCTTTTAAAAGGTTTTTCTATCCAAGCTTTCAGGGAAATAGTGCTTTCATACTATCACTCCCAAACAAATGGCTTCAACTTGTAATAAATACATTACAGACAAAAAGGCTGAACTTTCTCAGAAAATATTTGTATTTTAAAAAAAGGTGATTTTCCAAAGTGAACCTAATAAAGTAAGGCTATATAAGGGAGTAACAATGGGGGAGGGGTGCATTTTCATCAAGGGAGTTCTGAGACAAGGAAAGGCTCTGCAACGGGCAGGCAATCCTGAGACGAGAAGGCAATAATTTGCTTTGTGTCCTAAGACCACTGTTGACACCTCATCAGATTGGCCCCTCAAAAAACCACTTTTCTTTGTTGTCCTTGTCATAGAAGTAGAATAAAAAATTTCTTGACTATATTTAACACTATGAACGAGGGACTATTCAACACTACAAATTATGTTCTCTGCCTACTGGCTATATAGCTATTGACCTTAACAATAAATTTACCCAATAATTAGGAAATATAAATTTTAAGTTTAATGTTTTTACAAAACCCTAAGGTATCAAAGAATTCTACAACTAAAATGGAATATTAAATGGTCCCCTAATGACCAGGATTATCCCTTAAGCAAAACGATCACAAACTACCTAAACTCAAATTTACTTTCATGTTTCCCTTTATAAAAAGAAAAAAAAATCATACTTTTTATCATGGAAAAAATTAAACTCCCCTGAACATATCTACAAATCATTTAGGTGTCCCGTTATTACCGTTATTTTGAATTACCCGATAGATTAACACAGCCCTGTCAATGAACAGGCCTCTGACAATCTGGATCTCCTCTGGATAAACAAGTCTCTCTAAATTCCTACCCACTGCTGGCGAACACTGGGTCAGCTCAGGTGAAGACAACTGACAGATCCTAAGAGCACAGCAAGAACAGGAGCCCGAGAGCCCTAGTGGAAGGACAGATACTAAGAGGACAGAAATGGAATAGCACCACCTTTTCTTAAGCTGTCTATATCCTACAGCTAACATGAATACCCAGAGGCGTCCAGTTTTTCCTTTCCATCCATGTATCACCTACTCCAAGCTTCTAGCAATTGAGCAGCAATGAAAGGAGGAAGCCAGAGGGAGGCTTTTCAAGTGCTAAGCAAAATATGGAACAAAAATTTTAAAATATAATGCACAAAACAATCTTTGAAGCATGCCATCCATACAATCACTTTAATTCAACGGAAAAAGTATCCCTTCTTCCGAGGCACATATAAAGCCTTTTGGTTATTTTTCCCTATCCAAGGCTGTCCATAATCTTCATTTTAAATTAGTTTTGCCTGGATTTTTGCAGTGTTTTGTTTACTTTTTAGTCAGATAAGAGCCAGGAGAGTTGTGATTTGTTCCAGCCTCCAAACAATACTAGAATAGCCCTGCTCTCAATCTGTATCTCTCATCAGCTCTGGTTGCCAAGTCACTCAAAAATTACATTCTGTGCTTTCGTTTTTAATCCTTGGAAAAATTATTTATGAGAAATTAATTTCTCTAGATGTCTAGAATATATTGCATGAAAAGTCAAAGAATAGTACATATTGTTTGATCCCATTTATTTAAAAATTACATGTTTGTATATGTACATAAAATGTATAAACGAAAGACTTAACAAAGGCTATCTTTTAAAGACAAGATGGATGAATGATATTTTATATAATCTTTACTGTTTATTTTTTATCCTGTGTGAAATGCTTTTAAAAAT